AAAAAATGGCGTAATAATAAATATTTTGGACATTATTATTATTTTTTGTATTCTCTCATACCGATTCATGAAGGACAAGATGTTTGCATGTGTATTTATAATTGCTAATAAAGAGATCAAACTTCTGAGGGGGTCGTGAAATTTACCCTAACTTTTTCCTCAATATAAACCATAATGTCCGCATTTGATTTAATTATTAAGGAGTTAAGAGAGAGCATAAAATTTTTTAAAACACCAATTTCAAATCCAAATTCATGTATAATAAAGTGCATCCAAACATCAGATTTTAAATCTGTGATTTCAAATCCTTGCATTTAGTGATGACATCCAAACAAAATATTTTATCAAATCATGGATTTCAAAATCTAGATTTGAAATCCCATGATTTTAAATCAACCTTTCAATCCAAATCCAAGTTCCCAAACGTAGCCTAACAGAAATAATGGCTGTTAAAAAGTCTTAATACTAATATATAGTTATAAGGAAGAGGAGAAAATCAGATCGAATTATAGAAAGTATAATAAGCGCGACAATATTAAAAATATGTCATGTGTGTGCCCCATGCTAACTTACACTAACATCTGGCGGACAGATAATTTAGTAAAAGTATTTATTACATTTTTCTCCGGTAAAAATATCATATGGAATTTTTTATTTATTATTATTATTATTTTCTGTGAAAACCACTAATTTAATAGTTCACGGTAATTTTGTGAAACTTATCCAGGGTATACTGATTTTCTAGTTCTTTTTTGATGACATAGTCTGTTAGGGTAGAATATTAATTTGGTTTGAAAGATGAGTAAGAACTTGTAATTAGTCTATACTATACATGTATATTATGCAAAGTGATTTTGAACTAAATCAAGTAGAAGCCTACAATAGTGCAGACAAAAAGGTGTGCTAGTGGTTCCGTGTGTCATGGACTCATCATGATCATGTTCTAAAAAGTATTTGAACCCTATTTGTACACACATAAGTGGTTTCCATCAAATCATCTTAAGCTCCGAAATTTGTGGTTGACTTCATAGGTGGGTTTGCAATTTCTATTCTTGAGGATAGGATTTGCAAATTTATTATTATTCGATAGTTGGTAAACATGTATCTGATGGAGACGGGACTGTGGAATTAAATGCCCACTCAAAGAATGTAAACTACTGAATCTGAGCACGAATTTTAAAATCTAATGATTCAACGGTTAACATCATTTAGATGCATATTTAATGTCATGAACCCGAATATACTTCATACTTTTTTGACTATAGCTAAACCCCTAAAATTTTCACTCAGTCAGATCTCAAGAGCATATTTGTACGTCAACTTGTCCAAAATCAAGGCTGCTCCTTTTGCTATTACAGGTCACAACGCTCACCTAAAGCCATAATATCTCACGTGTTCGTGTTCTGTCAATGTCAAGGCAACTCTTTTTAAGTCGAGCAGATAACGGAATCAATGAATTATTAAACTCGACTGCCAACTTATACCTACTGTGGTTCCTATTTGTCTTCTTGGTTCTCAGAGTCTCACTATCAAATTAGTAAGACAATCCTCAAGTAAAATATAGAGCCAATTATCAAATACACCTTTGTATTGAGATATAAATTACTTATTAACGTTAAAAGACTTTTTTTCATTAGCGCTTGTATTTCTTATGTCTAGAAGGGGTTATTCTTCATTATCTTAAATGCAGATGACACTTGTACGGATAATGAAAAGATTAACTTTTTTGAAAATCAGAAAGTTTTAAGTATTAATGAAAATTTTAGAGATAAAAGAATGATTATCCTATGTAGAAATAACCACAAATTTTATCAGAATAGCCCCCCATACATACGGATTGTTCTCAGTCATCCAAAAGGACAATAAAGTTCTCCAAGTTCCCACCCTACCCCTCTTCGCGAATGGCTAAGAAAAGTCCACTCTTGTAAAGACTGTTATATAATTTGCACTCTATATATAATATAAGGACTTACATATGTAACTAACCCCTAAAGAGCTTTTGAAAACAACTTAGCACAATATATGTTATTAACCCTCAAAAATCAAAATTTATGAGTGTGCAGTTCGACAACTCCTCAAAATAGGATCAGATTTGATCATGCTCCCATCTTGGGGAAGTTGTGTCGCGTAAAATTGGGTCGACACTACTCCAGTTTTTCTAAGGCCGAATTTGGCCTATCAAACTTGTTTTGTTTTGGATCGTCTCCTCCCTAATCTAAATTAAAATTAGTTCAGTACAAAACAGGGCCAGGACTTACTCTGACCCAATTTTAAAGTGGTTGCCAAACACACCGACGAAAAAACTTACTAGTCCAATCTAAATTAAAACTTGTTTTTCTAAGGATGAATTTAACCTATCAAACTTGTTTTGTTTTGGATCGTCTCCTCTCCAATCTAAATTAAAATTGGTTCGGTTCAAAACAGGTTCAGGACTTACTCTGACCCAATTTTAAAGTGGCTGCCAAACACAACCTACGGAAAAACTTACTAGTCCACCGGTGAGGTACTTGAGGAGAAGACAAGCAAGGGAGGAGCCCAAAAGTTGTGCGATCACGTAGAGCAAAGATCTGAACAAAGTGATATTGCCACCGATGGCCAACCCCAGCGTCACCGCCGGGTTAAGGTGACCGCCGGAGATGTGCAGCCCGGCCGATATCATCACCGCCACCACAAATGCATGGGCCAATGCCACCGCCGACAGTCCCATGATCGAGTCAGCACCTCCTACCATTTTCCCTACGCGTAAATGGGGAAAAGAGTAGTCAGAAATAAATACTCTCTGTTCGTACCTAATATATTCTAATTATAATACGAGAATGGATGTGGATTGGGTTCATAAAATTTGAGGGTTACTTGAGTCCTGTCGCCAAATTGAACTTACAACACCCGTGGCTACATATTACTGTTGCCGGAAAATTTTAAAAAAAAAAACCTTAACGATAGTACATGTGGTCTATCAGCAAGTAACTCTAAATGTCAAATCCAAATTAAAATGATTATTCATTTGCAGATCAACCGTGTTTATTACGGTCACGATATTAGAATATAAAACTATAACCTTAAATCTCGAGACTAACTTTTAAGTTTTTTAGTACACTGGAATGGTCATTTGACATGGTAACAAAGCAAATTATAAATGGTTAGTTATATATGGAATAAAGTGACGACTAAGAAGCTTTAGAATCTTGATAGGAACAAGTACCTGCAGTCATGGCAGTGCCAACGCCGGTGAACACGAAAAGGAAGGTGAGGACGACCTCGGCGAGGACCGCA